GGGTGGCGCAGTCGGTTAAGCGTCCGACTTCAGCCAGGTCACGATCTCGCGGTCCGTGAGTTTGAGCCCCGCGTCGGGCTCTGGGCTGATGGCTCAGAGCCTGGAGCCTGTTTCCGATTCTGTGTCTCCCTCTCTCTCTGCCCCTCCCCCGTTCATGCTCTGTCTCTCTCTGTCCCAAAAATAAATAAATGTTGAAAAAAAAGAAATTGATCTTCGAGATGAGAAGCATTAAGACCTCTAGACAGATCCACCTCTGAGGGAGGTGGGTATTTGTAACTATTTGCAGGTTTCTGTTGTTCTGTATCTTCTCTGGGTCAATGTTTTGTTCCCCGGAATGTTTCACTGGATGTTGTGAAAGAACTACTCATTTCATGTATTGCAAATTTGTGCATCTTTCCTTATGCCCTGAGTCAATCTCAAATCATTGTAGTAGATTGGAATGCTCCTATTCCCCTTATTTATAGAAGATCCCATGAAAAGGAATTGATAGAATAGGGGGCTAGAAGGATTACTGGGAAATTCCCAATTATAGGTATGGAGTCAAAAACTTGTTCATATCCCATGAACACCAAAATAAGACTAAATATCCCCAAATAATTTTTCCTTTTATGAAAGCTCCTTCCCTGCCCCCACAACATTGACAGTCAGAGGGTGGGCTCCCAGCAGCCAGGATGTTATCTCTTGACCCTAACCCCTTGCCCTTCACTGATAGACTACAGAGGGATACCTGCTCTATGTTGAACCAATCAGCTTTGCTCACCTCCAATATATCAACAACTTTTGAGTTGCCAAGTGCAGGAAACAACTCAAGGTAAAGTTTATTTTCATTTAAAGGGGTTTGTTTAGTTTAGTTTTGCCTGACCTTTTTTTTTTTTTTTAAGTAGTTAAATTGTAAAATGTAATTTATTGTAAGGATTGATATAGTCATTTGGATTGAAGAGGAAGGTAGCAGTGCAGCTGTGTCCAGTGTGTCTGAAACTAAGACCAGGAGTGCTGTGGGGAAACCAGAGTATTCTCTCGCTGGTCTTACACCTCTGCCTTCTCCTGATCCATTTTATTTTATTTCTTGGTAGGATGGCTTTCTTTGCTCCTTTGCTACTTTGTTCACAGCAGGTAGAACATTGCCATCCAGAGCCCCTAGTTCAAAAGTTACAGTTACCTTCACATACTTAAGACTGGACTTTCTCTCTCTCTCTCTCTCTCTCTCTCTCTCTCTCTCTCTCTCTCTCTCTCTCTGTCTCTCTATCTCTATCTCTATCTCTATCTCTATCTCTATCTCTATCTCTATCTCTATCTCTCTCAGTCCCAGTGCTCAGTTCTCAGGGGAAAACACTGGTCCAGCTTGCATGAGATCCCCAGCTCTGGACCCATCACCAGGGGCTGGGAGCTCATATTACATGAACATGGCTACCAGGATTGTACCTTTGCCATTCTGTTACGAGGCTTGTCCTAGACTTATTACACGCTGGTTTCCACGTATTTAGGCATCTCTCCTCTGGACTATGAATTCCTTCAGGGCAGAGAATTTGCCTTATTGATGGTATATATTCCCGGTGCCAAGTTCAAGGCCTGATTCTTACTGAATGAATACAAGTTGACAGCAGGAAAAAAAAAGGTCCTCTAGGCTTTTCTTCAATCAGACTTATTTAAAGAGCATCTTGCCCAAGATATTTACTCTGTTTTCATATGTATGGGACCACTTGAACTGTGACTGAGTCCCTGAATCATTGACCATTAAAACTGTAATTTAAAAGATATTTTAAAAATTGTTCTAAATGATTGAGAGTCTACACGGTAACAGGCACTGTGCTGGGGGCGGGAGGACACTGATGAATGAGACACTGTCACTGTGTTTAAGGACCTCTCTGTTGAGTTTGACAGACCTTGGAGATCACTTAGCTTAACTTTCTCATTTTACAGATGAGGAAATGGAGACTCATAACGATTGCTAGGCCTGATGGAAAATGTTTTGATTTATTCATAAGATTTTAATATGTGTGGAGTCACTTTGCAGTGAGAGGTGTTACTTATTTTGGCCAAAGGGAACATTCCATTTTTGTACATTTATGGATTATCTTTTCTTTGATCTTGTGTTTCTTTTTTAATAGGCATGTGATTATGTAGATGATATTTGCTAAGCTTTTGATTTATTTGGAACCAATTAATAGCTGGCACTCAAGTTCTTTGGAAGCTCAAACCTTGCTATATTGGAAATTTCTTTATGGTTACTGAGTAATAAGGTCATGTATTATTGACATGGCTTCTGACACTTCTCCCATTTATTATTATTCCTTGTTAAATCACTTCCTGAGAAGGCTAGAAAATGTTTTCCATCTTAGATGGCATAGTTTATATTGACTTTCTCTGAAAGTGAAATTCAGAGAAGAGAGTGAAAAGGATCATTTTTCTGCATTTACAAAGGATGGAGGTGAAAGTTTTCTTTGGGGGAGAAGGAGAATTGGCAGTGGACTTCAATTAGCTTTTCGTTGTGGGAACATATCGTGTGCCAGGCCCTGTGCAGAATTTGGTGGGGGCAGGATAGCTGCCAGCTCTCGCAGGGGAGACGTGCCTACTGCCGCTGGCCATGCGGGCGTTGGGGGAAGATGCATCATTGCTCTAAGCTGTGTGTTCAAGGGCAAGCCGAGGAGAGGCCAAGTCTCCTCACTCAGAAGCATGGAGAAATATTTCTCTGTAGGAGATAGCTTTGGGTTTGGCTTAAGAGTAGGTGAGTTCCAACAGTTTACCAAAGGAAGGGGAGCAGCTAAGAGCTGTAGGATGATTAGGGACATGGATCCCTGTGAGGCTACATGAGGAAGATGGAATGAGGCCCAGGCTTAGGAAGGGCATTGTCCTAAGACCAAGCCTGAATCTCTCTGTGCTGTTGATTGGCCCTTTCTCTTCTTGGCATCATTGTTAGTCCTGGAATGGAGAGCCTTCCTGGATATGCAGCTGGGCTGATCAAGGCAAATGGACATAGACTTTAACGTCCTAAGAATGTAAGCTTTTAAATATGTCCAGAACCCCTCCAACAGCCTTCCAGAGAATCTTGTCACATAGCCTCCTTGTTGGATATGAGTTTGATGGGGGCTGTACTGGAAAAAGTCATCTTATTTCCCTGATGATCAGGAAAACTTCCTGGAGAAGGTCAGTGTTCCAGAGGTTTCTGTCTGGGGGAAGGGTGTGTGTGTGTGTGTGTGTGTGTGTGTGTGTGTGTGTGTATCTGTGTGTCTGTCTCTCTGTCAGTCTGTCTGTATATATATACATGGTGGAAGGATCTTAGCTGGGGAATGAGGAGAGGATTAGGTTCCTGCCTGAAAAAGCAAACATGGTTCTTTCGTAATACAGGAGGCCATGTGTTCTGTCTCAGAGGGCTCATTGTTGTGACTGAAATTTTTTGTTTTTTCCTCTTCCAGGCATAAATGAGTCCAGGTGAGGTCATGCTGTGTCTGCTGGAAGAATACCCCATTTCCACGTTATCTGCATGGGCTCTGCTGTGAAAGGAACCAAACAAGAACTTGTTAGACGCTTCCTTCTCTCGGTGAGCACTCCAGGCACAGCAATTGTTCCACTGTTATTCTAATTGTGTCCTGTCCTCCTCTTGCCAAAGCCAACAGCCCAGTCTCAAGTAAGCATCCTTTAGGCTCATCTGCCACCTTGAACATGAACACAGGGCAAGCTGATGACAGCCAGGGTTCCCAAGGGACATGGGGCCCTGCCCGGTCCAGCCCCCAGAAGCAGGTCTTCTCATGATGTTGGTGTCTAGGAGTGAGCACCATGCCCATCACCCAGGACAATGCCATGCTGCACCTGCCCCTCCTCTACCAGTGGCTGCAGAACAGCGTGAGGGAGGGCGGGGATGGCCCAGAGCAGCGGCTCTGCCAGGCAGCCATCCAGAAGCTGCAGGAGTACATCCAGCTGAACTTTACTGTGGATGAGAGTGTGGTCCCACCTGACCACAGCCCCCCAGGGATGGAGATCTGTACTGTGTACCTCACCAAGGAGCTGGGGGACACAGAGACTGTGGGCCTCAGTTTTGGGAACATCCCTGTTTTCGGGGACTATGGAGAAAAGCGCAGAGGGGGCAAGAAGAGGAAAACCCACCAGGGCCCTGTACTGGACGTTGGCTGCATCTGGGTGACAGAGCTGAGGAAGAACAGCCCGGCAGGGAAGAGTGGGAAGGTCCGACTGCGGGATGAGATCCTCTCCCTGAATGGGCAGCTGATGGTCGGAGTTGATGTCAGTGGGGCCAGGTGAGTGGGGGAGTGCTGGTTGGCACAGGGGCTGGACGGGGGACCACTGTGGCTCATGTATGTCTGCTGCTCCAACCTGCACTGCAACGGGTTGAGTCCTACTCTGGTAAGCCAATGGCATTTATCTTATAGAGGGAAAATACTAAATTGAAGTACTGTGGTATTTGTATGATTCTTTTATGCTTCATTCTCTCTTAGAGGACTTAGACTCAGAGTATTTCCTTTTTTCCTGAAACCTAGGAATACTACATGACACAAGAGTATAAGAAATGTCACATTGAGTTAGATCTTCTCCTCCACTCAACCAACATCTCCCCTCCAGTTGGAGCATTAAAGGTTGGGTCCTGGATGTATTTCCATCTGCCTGTCTCATATCACCTTAGTCACAGACAAACAGTCCAGAATCCCCTTGAGATGCTTAGAAGTATCTTTGGACAACCAGCCACCCCTGCCCTCAGTCCCAGTTTCCCCATCCTGAAAGATCCATTTGGATCTCATCTGAATGAGCATATTTCCATTTTTCACCTGTGTGGCCACCCATCATCTCAGTAAGTTATGACCGGACTGTTGTTTCCCAGATGAATCAGAGTCCAAGACCACCCTCAATCTCAGTGATTTACTAGAAGGACTCAAAGGACTCAGAAAAACTCAGGGTTACAGTTTATTATAGTGAAAGGATACAGATTAAAACCAGTAACCGTAAAAGGTACACAGTGTGGGATCCAGGAGAGAGAACAGGTGCAAACTCAGTTGTTACTCCCAGTAGAGTTGTACAGGTGGGCTCAGTTCTTCAGGCAATGGTGTATGACAACATCTATGGAGTATTGTCAACCAGGGCAGCTCATGGGAGCCTTGGTATCAGGGTTTTTTGGGGGGTCAGCTGGCATGGAGTGCCTGTGTAGCTGACCTTAGTTACTCAGTGTCCAGTCCTTCCAGAGTTCAAACTAATGCCACATGGCCCAATGCCCGTGCCATAGATTACATTATTAGTATGGCCCAAGACCCAAGGTATACAAAGACACTCTCATCAAGCAGAATATTCCAAGGTCTTAGAAATTACCTCCCAGGGGTTAGTCAAGAACGAATCTTTTCCTTGGAATATACAGAGGTTGAATACACCAAACTTGCTGTGTTAACCCTTTACTGCACACCAAGGTTTTAGTAATGACTAAATATGGAAGAGAAAAAAAAAGAGAAGTTTGAAGATATTCTGAGATGCATAACTTTTGTGGAGCCTTCAGAGGCTCCTGTGAGGAAAGCTCCTATGTCCCAAGAGAAGAGAATCATGGAGAGAGGGTCACTTTGAGAATCATGGTGACCTTTCACTGAGGGAGATCTATAACCAAAGGAGACCCTGAAGGGAAGAAGCCAGAGCAGAAGTACCTTAAGTTTAATTTTCTCCTTCCTTTCAGTCTCCTACCAGAGCTTTCCATTGGCAGAAACCAGGCAGAAGCCAGTGGCAAGGGACCCATTGAGAGGGTCCATATGTGTCAACCTGAGGCAGAAGCCAGGGTAGAGAATGGTGGAGAGTGGACATGGAGGGGCAACGAGAAGTCATTGGTCACATATATATATTGTGGCCCAAGTTTAAAATGATCCAGTGCATGGAAAGAACATAGCACAGGCCTGGCTGGCGTGTATGAGTACTTACTCAGTAGACTCTGACCAGTATTTTCTTTGGGTTGCCTATCTGACTGAAGAGATGTTCTTGGCTAATGGCTGGGTCCTCAACTAGCAATTACTTTCACTTTCAAGGAGGAATGTTGAAGAGAAATGATTCTATTTAAAGTTCGAAATTGTTCTTAGAGAAGAAAAAGGACTGACCACCATGGTATTCATTGGTGTTGAGAATATGACTCCAGTCCCTGGTGGCTGGGTCCTTGAGGTTAGAAGTAGGGATCAGTGGAGCTTGATGGCAGCCCTCCCAGAGCTGTCCCTGAGAGCCCCCACCATTTACAACTATCTTCTGTGAGGGGAGCTGATTTGGATACAGAGGCAGAAGGAAGAGCAGGAAGGGGACATCCAGTGGGAGAGCATAATGGTCAACAGCTCCAGCTCCCAACTAGTGCTGCCTCCTCAGGCTCCCATACTTACAAACTGATTGACCTTGAAAAATCATCCCTCTTAGTCTTGGATTCCCAGTGACATGGAAATGATAACACTATTGATCGTTGATCCAATGACTAAATGATGCAATAATGCATATAGAGGGCTTAGTACTATGTCTAATCCATAGTGCTCAGTAAAATATTAACATCATAATGACTGTTCTACATGGAGCATGTTTAGAAAGACTGGGAATTTATTACCTAAGAGGTTGCTGGAGTCTTTAGGATTTGGAGAAGTTTATTCCATATGGGATAAATTTTCTCATGTATGTTCAGGAAGCTCTTCCCATTGCCTGCTTAAGGTTGTAGACTTTTTAAGAGGCCAGGTTTACTGTCCCAGGCTCTGAAAGTATATCTAACCCTCAAATGAAAATGCTTTCCAGCTACCAAAGGAGGATTCTTTGGTGATTTTAATTTATTCCTTGAGTCATAGGATGATGCCCATTTTTTTTTTTTCAAAGAAAGAAGATACAGAAGAATAGAAAGGTGATGGGACCAGGGTCATGACAGAAAGTGGGACACGAAACTAGACTCCTTAATGGAGGTTTCAAGGAGGGGCAAGTATGGTATGATGGAGGAGGCAGTGAACTGAGTCTGGGATTCTGGATTTTCTCCATAGGTCTTCTAGCAACTAGCTTTGAGATCTTGGGTAAGTGTGTAGGGATGGTGGGGGTGGTGGTGGTGGGGAGGTTAGCCAAAGCGGCCTATGCTAACATATTAGGAGTGAATCTCTGAAACATTTCATTTGATCCACCTGAGCTAGTTTTATCATTTTAGAAGCTTACAGAGGTGAAGCAGTGTTCCCATGATGTCATGGTGATAATTGGCACAGCTGAGACTCAGTCTCTCCCTTCTGACTCCCATTTGGGAGTGGTACCTGTTCCAGGGCACCATTCCACTTCTGTGTGCTCAGGAAGAGATTATTTGGATGGATGTGGTCGCTTGGCATCTGGACTGAAATAGCTAAGGCTGAGGAGCTTGGAGGATGGAAAAAGGAGAACATGTTGAGGAACAGGTCTCTGGGATTGCTAATTGTTATGTTTGGGTGTTCTCAAATGTACCTGGGATTTGTTCTAATCAAGTATGATAAGACATGCAGACAGGGAAATTACTGTCATAAAGGAAGACTTTGGCACTCCCAGATCTCTAGAAACGGGGGATCAACACACCATGCAGGGCTACATAGAGAAACACCAGTGTTATTCAGGAGGCAGAGGGAGAAGAGGGAAGAATATGGCCTGAAACTTTATTGGGATTTTCAAGGGAGGTTTGGGTGAGGCATGGCAGCTACTCTGAGCAATCTTAGGATTTGTAGCTTGAATAACTGCAGCAGGCTCTGAGATATAGGATGGTCTCTAGTTGTCCAGTACGTGGCATGGGGTGACTTATGGGCAATACTGTCTTGATGTATGAAAGTTTAACAAAGGAGATGGTTGGGGTGTGAACTCTGGATTGGTTGATTTGTATATCAAAGGCACACTCTCAGGGGAGTTTGCTATTTCTAGGAATTGGCTAACCTTGGAAGGGTCAGTCTCTCTGGGATCAAGGCCCGAAATGCCAGAGCATCAAGAATACAGAAAATAAGGAAACAATAGTCAACGCACTGGGCTTCTGGAAATTTTCCACAGCTGAGGAAGTAAATCTCCCAAACATAACTTTTTCAATAGTGCACAGTCATGACCCTGAAATTCCTTTGATGACACAGTCATGTGTATATGCTGGACAATGAAGGGCCCGGAGAGGGAAGACCTACCCAGAAGCCACTGAGATGTAGAGGTGATAGAAGGAAAAGGCCAGGATCCACTGATGGGTCTTCAAGAGAAGTGTGAAAGTGAATCAAGTAATGAAGGAGGACTCCTAGAGTCCTGGGCTCCCAGTGCTCATAACAACCAAGAAGTTAACAAGACAGGAGACTAGCTTGATTTTCTAAGGCTCACTCCCTAGTTCTCTGGCGTAATTATCAGAAGTGTTGTTGAGTGAGCAGTTGCTACCATAGTGGGCATTCTCCCATCTTATTTAATCTAAAGCTGTGGTGAGAAACCTTGATGGCAGAGGCCACGTAACTTGCCCAAGGTCACCTAAATAAGAGGCAGAACCAGATTTGGACTTGGGTCTATCTTCCACCACAGTCTGTGCTCCTAAGTCCTGTGCTATACTACTTCACATCTGCCCCAGAGTTATATGTTGGTTTTTGCCATGTGGTCTGGTAATTTCATGGATGGTTTTCAGCTTCACAGAATACCTCCTCAGTGTAATGGTAGACACCAGGGAAGAAAATGACTAGAACACCATAAGGCTTCCACTTACCCAAACTGATAAGGAAAACAGAAGCCCCCCCCACCCCCACTCCATCTTAAAAAAGGAAACCCAATTTTAATGTAGAATCCTTTTGCCACACTTATATCTAGCTAGAACTTCAGGACTAGAAGCACTTTGAGATTAAGTATCAAGGAACTTAAAGTGTTTTGAATGTTCTTGAGATGCTCCTTCACTCTGTAACTGGCTAACAGTTTCCTTCAACACTAAATTTTTCCACATACCTATATAGGTTTTGTCCTAAAAAGTGATGAATACAAATTAGGGTTTTGTTGAGACCCCAGTGTAACTCTGCAAACAGCTCCCTCAACTGTATACCCCTCTTATTCATAAGCATAAGATTTCAGGTGTCCCCATATGAACATCACACTCACCCCGCCAAGATGATACATTGGTTGTCCATACTCTTGCTTGGAATTTTCATATGAGGCACTCTTTTGGGCAATCCATTCTTCTCCTTCTCTTGAGTTTGGTTTCGAATTCAATACTACCTTAGATGATGTTATGGTTTGAACTGTGTCTTCCAGCCACCGCCTCCCTCTACCACCTGCCACTACCAAATTCATATTTGGAAGC